ACTGAATTTAAATAACCGTTTTAGGTTCGTTCACCTTGCCAAGTGCCAACCTGTAATAATTTTGATGGATTTAAATCGTTCACACATTATCATATAATGTGGTTTCGACATAGAAAATGTCAGGTGAAAAATTATTCTTAACGCTGAATTTTGTATGAATTATTAGAATTTAAATACGTTTAGAATGTATCTTGTTTTAGCTTAAGTAATTTGCGAACTGTAAACCCGTGTTCTGTTTGAAAGAATTAATGTTGGGAATTACTGTGGAATTATTTTATTAAGAGTAACCATAAAACGTTTTGTATTCGTCATGGTAAACGTAGTAAAATTTATTGGTACAGAAAACAAAATCAGGCTATTTGTAAAAGTTCATAAATTTACGTGATTTGATACGTTACCAATAGGCCTACATTCTCTTTAACATAAGTTTTTAGCGAATTTTCCGTATAGGGAATAACTGAATAAGCTATTACCGTAGTGCTCATGGTAGGACCTGGACCCGGGACCGATTTACTTATTCGTTTTGAGGTCCCCAGAGGCCAAAAACACCATCCGTTCAAAATTATATGTGTGTCAGTTAGTGCGATAACTCGAGTAAAAATGATCAGATTTTGATGGAATTTGGTATAAACGTGTTAACCTACATTTATTTGAACGAGTTCGCGAGCCAGCATAATCGGACTATGGGAATGGGGATTTATGGAGAGTTTTATGGCGTAAGAATTGGTATAAGTAAACTGTTGTAGTTTGCTTGTTTATAAACATATATTTTGATCAAATTTGGAAAATGCATTTATTTCTTACTAAACCATTAACATAAAAAAACACTTTGACTCTCCTTGTTGCAACAAACCTAAGTACTTGTTAAAATAATTCTATTAAAATAAGGAATAAATGTGATGTTTTTAAGGAGACATTTAAATGTAAATCCAACAAATGGCAATTCGCAGTCTGCAGGTTTGCTGTGGCGGGGGTAATTATATAAAATCTTGTTATATAAAATTCTCTGTACAAAAACAAGCGGTGTTGACACATTGACGTCATCAGGTTTGTTTACAGCGAGTTGCCTGAAGCTATCAGCTGATTATTTATATTGTTGCTCACCTTGGACACTTCCTAGGTTAGGAGGGACTATCCAATCAATAAACTGTCTTCTCAACATACTGTCACAACATATGGTGGGCCCACTCATGTTTGGTGGATTTATGGCGAATGAAAAGAAAGAAAACTACGAAAATATAAATTAATTCTTGTAACAGCTGATTTATTATACCACTGTGTTTAAAAACATTTTTTTAATTTTAAACACCGTTATTTTGTATACAAAATGCTGTACTTCAAGTTAATCTGACAAATCTATCTCTATTGTCCACTGTATAACATTTATATACAAATACTTTACTATTTATAATTTTTTGTAACATCCAAGACGATTGCGTATATATTTTGTAAACAGAAAGATTATAGAATGTGTTCCTATGAAAACTGTAAGAGTGTAGACGAAACTTTAGCATTTGCCGGTTAAAATAAAACTGTTGGACATGTTATAGTGTGCATTTGTTTATTTTCTAGTTGTGTTTGTACTTGTTCGTTGTACTTGTTTTCACAAAAAATGACACCACCAAAATAATGTAATATCTATTGTTGAGCGAATTCAAATGATCCTAAAGCTAGGTTTTCCTATGCGCGGAAGCGGAGAGCGGAGTGACGAACGCGGAGAGCGGAATAGAGATTAACATGGTGTTCCGCTCTGCTTCTAGGAAAACAGTAACATTAAATTACCTAAGACAAGTGGAGTCCGCTCTCCGCGTTCCTGTCTCCGCTCTCAACTTCCGTGCCTAGGAAAACCCGGCAATATACCTATACGTATAAGAAGTATAGTTTCCAAAGTACTTTTTTGTTGGCAGGCTATAACTACCTCAATTCTTCGCCAATTTCCATAAATGAGGTGTCATTTTAAAGCTCTTTTTATCCATGGGGGAAATATACAAATCACTCATTTTCTAATATATATATTTTTTTTTTGTGAAAACGATTAGTTGTATAATTCTGCAAGTAATTTAAACTTGAAATGTTTATTTGCGTTATTCGATCAGCTGAAACATGTGAATTAAATAAAAACAAACTAATATTTTACTTCCAAAATCCGAGTGTTTTGTTTTTACTTCGTCTTTGACGACGAACAAACTTAAAGTCGGAACCACGTAAGTTTGCAGTTGAGGGAGGAACCTATTTACCAAATGGTTTTGAATGAACCAATGAGAACCGTGCGGTGTTGCCAAATCTAATAATCCCAGCTGATTTGAAAATATTGCTTAGTATATTTTAATTCGTGTTTTTAACGGGCGAGTAATTTCTACGATAAGGGTTAACAAATAAAATGATTTGATAACTTCCATTAGTCGCCATTGCTCACTAACTTTTTGTTACATTTAAATCGTTTCAAATTTTTGTAAATACTAACCAAACCGATAGCAAAAGCTAAACGAAAATAATATATTTAATTTTTTTTACCAGATGACCAATCTGGTTAAGATGTAGTCAACGAGGAAACAATCATTCTACCTTGACTGTGTAGAAAATATAAAAGTGACTTTGGACCTAATGTAAATTAGAAGACTTTGTTTTCACTACTGATTACTGATAATTTGAATTAACAGCTGTTATCCTCTGTTATACAATTTGACCAAACAAGATTACAGCGCATTCACACCGTCAATGTGTGCATAGTTACACAACTGATCGGGCATATCAGTTACATGTTGCATGATAAGATGAAACTATTCTAGAAAGATATGGAAACATTAGTTGCGATGTAATGGTTGCGAAAATGTAGTTAGGTTGTTAAAAAAGTACAATGTGCATTACACATACAAAAATACATTGTCTCAATATAAAAATACTTTGTTTTCAATACAAAAATAAATTGTTATAAAATCAATCTTAATTAATTTATATTATACTTTTACGTATTAACGAAACTCATTGCTTAAAACATTACAACGTTCGTAAAGCGTAATCTTTGCTTTCAAATTTGTATACCAATGACTGCAGTAGATCGGGTTTGCACCAATATAAGAATACAGTACCATTCTTTTACTAACGAACGAACATGCTTCTAGAAGTCAAGCATGGTAATATATTTGGTTAGGAACTATCATAGAACGATTTAAATAGTATTTATAAAAATGTTGGGCCTGACAAACCAAGTTTTTTACCTCAGCATGTTAAAAGCCTTTATATATATACAGGGTTAATAAAACCTGTGGAGACCCCCTGTTAATCTTTTAACGGCCGATACTAGAAAAATTAAACTCGGCACACCTTTATGGCATGCTATGAAGTACTTTTTGGGCATAACCGCCCCTTGGTGTACATCCCCAAAATGGGAGATTACTCTAAATTTTCAAATAGTAAGACCCATCGAGTGACCCCTCATTTTGGAGGTCCCGATAAAAGGAAACTAACAACGCAAACTAGAGGTCTCAATCTTAACACAGTAAAATATGGCAGCTAATTGAATATAAAATTGCAAGTTAATTCTGATTTCTAAAGGTTTCAATCAATAGTTTAGATATAAAGTCAATGGTATAATCCTCCCTAGGTTCCTAGAAATAAGTGTGCAAAGTTTCAGAACTTTCAGATTATTTCGGAGGTTGGGGCATTAACTTTTTTATTTTGACTGGACTTTAGTTTAGGTCAGATTTACTTAAAACATAGACCAAGCATAGGCATATTTTCTCGTAGTGTATAGTATAGTATTTAGATGTTCAGTGTTTAGTTTTAATACTTATAATGGCGAATAACTATGTAGGCCATGTTTGATAATAGATTCAATATCTTTGATCTTTGTGCACCAGCTAAAACAACCTTAAAGTGTTATCAATAAAATTATTTTGGAGATTCTCCAAACACAATAATTAGTAAAAAACAAGGAGGTCAGGACGTTTCCGGATCTGAAATCTGATCCCGTCATCAGGGCAGAAAGTGACTAAATGATATAATTATGTTTTTGGTACTTCGCCTGCCTACGGGATAGGAATCGAGACCCCGTGTCGTAATAACTTTGTAACGCGGTGTAAGATTTTATAGATAATTAATTTCGTAAATAATAACAAAAACTCCCCAACAATAGACTTCTAACAAAGAATCTTGTGGTGTTTACGTCCCGTTTATGTGTTACCGTAGAAAAAAACAGCCGTTGACAAACAGCAGTTAGTTCTATTTGGTCGCAGCGACTTTAAAGTTCGTAATCGTAACACAAGGAATAAATAATAAACTTTAAACCTCTACAAACACTTTATGGAAACCCTGTATTCAGCTTACACTAGAATAAGCAAGATATCACTACATCAAGAACGTATGTTTGATCTATGATTAGTAAAGCAAATTGTTATATGTTATGGTTTTGTGTTTATATTAACGGAAGATTGTTCTGGGCTCTCTTAAATGCTCAAAATCATTACTACTTCAAACTTTACAAAATAAGCTACTAACTATCAACTGTGAATTATTATAAACTAGAGGTCGTCCAGTGGTCGAAAACTCGACCAAAAATATGTAATGTACATACTTATCTATGTTCCGGAAGCTGTAAATAAAACATGTGATAGGAATTTCTTTCATTAGCTTTGATTTTCTGTTTATTGTTTTGTTGTTATTTCATCACCAGCATGGCAACCCATAAGGCCCATGTTAATGTTTTTATTTTAAATTCATTTTTTGTGTTTATTTGTTGCCCATTTTAATTTATAAAGATATTCTGCACAACTACAGGCAAATATCTTATACTACTAAATATACTAACAGTAAGCGTAGATTTTCCCTGCGATGCACACGAGCTGAGAAAAAAGGTTTAAAAGAAACATGCTTGCCTACATATAGATACCCGAGACTAAAAATAACAAAATGTAAATTGTTAATCGGATTGAATGAATGAATTATTTTAACTCCTTAACTCCTACAATACATGTAAAGCATAAATACACATAAATACTCACCTAAAACTGATCTTCTCTATCATATTGAAGCTGTGATTACGATGTTTTGGCTACAAGAAACTGCAGTTCAAAATAGTCAAATCCCATACGCTACAACCTATCAACTCCACACTTGTAACCCTAAAGAAAACCTAAACTCAGACAACAGTGTTAGACCTACCACGTTCTTACATTAACTAACAGATAATCTATAACAACAAACTATTTAGCAACAAACACTACCAATAATGTTTATTCTACAGAAGGTCATGCAGATAACGGCTGTTAGGTCTAACATGGACTGTGGTGGTACTTACTCTGTCACTAGTAGTGATCAAATGGCCTCTGTTCTAACATTGAGCTTCCCATAGGCTATCAGAGGTCCATGGACTTTGTTATCTGCTCGATATGTGCTCAATAAATGACCACTGGCCTACTTCCTGACTGCCAATGGGCCGTGCCACAAGCGTGCCAATCTGCCATGTGCGGGAGTCTGAATCAACCGGCCCTGAAAAAGAGCGGAGTTTTTCGCAGCAAACGAAACGTCAACGGATGGCCATGTTTCTCAGTTCCTTCGAGTTGTATCCAGATACCTAGATAAACTATCTTCATAGGCCAACTAGAGCCAATTCTCTAAGAAACGGACAACTCACTGAGTGTTGTCCAAAATTAGACTTCTCCCTTGGATTTGATACTGTGATAGTTGACGGGACTTAAGAATAACATAGTTGGTTGACGTTGTATATTTATCCTTCTATTATAGGCAAGCATGTTTCTTTAAAACCTTTTTTTATCGGCTCGTGTGCTTTGCAGGGGAAATCTACTCATACTGTTAGAACGATATTTTCCTGTAGATGTGCAGAATCCCTTTATAAATTAAAATAGGCTAAAAAATAAACACAAAAATGAGTTTTAAATAACATGGGCCTTATGGGTTGCCATGATGGTGACGGAATAACAACACAAACATAAAATAAAAACAAAGAAATTCCAATCACACGTTTTTTTTTACAGCGTGGGGTGAAGTTTAGTGTTTTTATGTGTTGATAAACAGAAGCAGGACACACCTTCCATAGAGAGGGGGTGAGTGACGGGGTTATTTTATGAGGAACTAATTAATGATAAGTTTCAATAAAATACATTCTGTTTAATGGTGACATGTTTTATAGTTACAATAAACATTGTTAATCCTTTTCACTGAAGAAATGTCAAATTTATTATTCTTATTTACTATTTAGGCTAACTGTTAGTGTTATTGCTCGTCATATCCAGTTTTCAGAATTTTAAATCGACCAGCAGCTATGATCTCTCTTCTTGGTGGTATAACATGTACACGATTTCCACTAGCAGGTGGTTCCACGAATAGCAAACTTAAGAGGTATCTTCATTTACGGCTTCGCCCCCATAGCGTTTGATTTATTTGACGAATTGACTTTCAAAGATGTCAAATGCTGACCCACTTTCGGGATCATCTCATAACTCCAAGGTTTCATAACTCCAAGTGATCATAACTCCAAAGTTTCATAAGTCCAAGAGATCATAACTCCAAATTATATTTAATCCAAAGTTTCAAAACTACAAGTACCCGAAAAGGGATAATTTCATTACTCCAAGAAAAATATAAGTGCAAGTGATCATAACTCCAAAGTTTCATAAGTCCAAGATATCATAACTCCAAAGTTTCATAAGTCCAAGTAAAAATTAAAGCAGAGTGTCATAACTCCAAAAGTTGAGTCGAGTCTCATATCTCCAAGTGGAATGTGTAGTACAGTCAGCGCCACAAGTTCCTGCGCTGTCCGCTCCGCTGTAATACTGTCAGCAGCCTTTGCCGCATCATTGTATCCATATACCTACCGTCGCCTGTCAAACGATTATGTAATTTTGTTATATACTTACAGATTAATTAATTGATATACTTCTTACTTCTATGCTAAAGGTACTTTAACCTTTAACTACTCGCGCGGGTTTTACTAACGTATGTACTCGCGTGAGGTGTTTTTGACACTCCGTTATTACATATTTGTTATAATTAATTGTATTAACACTAATAATTGGTGAATAACATTTTTTGTTGTTATTTAAGTTTATTAACGTTTTTATTAGCTCGCTTTCTTGTCCGGTACAAATTTTGCAATCAATTTTATACTAACTTCCCGATGAGCTAGAGACTTGAAACTTGAAACATAGCCCACAAATGGAAGACAATGCAATATAATATCATTTAATTTTCATATTTCCCTTGGGCTACGCCCCATGGGCTTGTTTTTATTTTACTGTATACTGTTTCCAATATGAAAGAGTTATTTATTTTAAGTTATACAATGTAAATAATATATTTCTTTTACCAACTGCAGTTTGTGTGTGTATTTGGTCAAGTTTTGCATATAAACCATTTGTTGTATTAAAAAATATGTATTTTGTCATTGAACTGTTTGATATTGAATAACTAGCATATGTACTACCCGGAAAATATATAATTTTTAAAAGATTATAATATGTCTGTGAATGGTAAAGGTATTATTTTTCCTTAAAATGTACTACTAAAAAACAAATTTATTTATATGTCAAAAACACTTGTTTGTTATCGAAATAAATGTAAATAAAAAAATGTCCTTTCATTACTTTTAGAGTCTTTCGCAAAAAGAACAACATTACCTTATACAGGAACTTGTACTTTTTACGAAACGTTAACACTCACGTGGGGAGTTGAAAACACCCTATACTTTGTAATACACATGTATTACCAAGTGAACACTAGAGATCGCACGGGGACTTTGGATGAGAAACGTTCCTGTGTTTCACAGTTTTAACTTTACATTTCAGGTAATTTACACTAAGTGTACAATGCAGTTGTCTGCTTGCAACATTGAGCAGATAGCAGACATAATAATCAAATAATTTCTAAAGTCAATGTTACATATGTTTCTCGTAAATGAAATGTATACTTGCAGTATCCAATCTCATTAGTATATATTTTGTTTCAAATGAATGCAATGTCTAATTTCGTTATTCAAAGTTAATTACAAGTCTGGTTCAATTAAATGTATTGTCTACCTCAAAGTATATATGTGTCATCTGGTTCTCATAAATTAAATGTCTACTAGAGAACCCGTGCGGCTCAATGAGCCGCATAGTATGAAACATAACGCCGAGGAAAACGTTATGCTTAAATTCGAGTAATTCTAGTTACATCTTAGAGTTGTTTAAACACTTGTTAGAAACTAATTTGAATATCTCTATTTGTATCGTCAAGGTTCACCTACCTACATTATTTCTGCTCTCAGTTTTAACTGATAACTTCTAATAAATGCAAAACGATCTGCTTAGATTCGAGCTAACATGTTGCAACAAAGTTTTTCCAGCATTGAGAATTTATGAAAACAGTTGCCTAGACATCCCCCTAATCAAACGAATTTTCTCCGAAGAGAATCCTGAAAAGTGGAGTGATATCAACCATTTAATGTGCTCCATTTTTTACCTATAAACTCTGGGTTATCAACTGGAAAGCCATAATCTGCTTTGAATAGGCTAAAGCAGCAACACCATTGATAGTATGTTAACGTATTTTAACGTGTTGTGTGTTAGTCCTAGTATATGACCCGCATCAGAACGTTCTCACGTTGTTCAGTGGGGTTTCTCCTAAGAGGCTACCTGTCCCAACGTTTTGATAGTATGGATTCGTTTGTCGAAATAGGTTGGATAACTATTGTAGCTATAAGATTTGGATAGCAATTTTCATTTTCTCTTTTTGAACAGCGTATATTATTTGCCTCTCCTGAATTATAAAAATAAACTTGATTGTAACTACTCGATCGTTGAATACATAATTATTAATTCCTTCACTTATGTCTAATATTGCCACTAAAATTCAGTCAAAAACTTTGTATAAGTTTGTCCTAGGAACTGGCAACATAACCTAGAAGTAAACAATCCATTTGTGTTTTCCTCAATAAGGTAGAGCTAGTAATACAAAAGTTTACAATAAAAACATAAAGTCCGCCAAGATTTGGTATAATCTTACTACTTGAACTTATCATAGTCAAGGTATTATTATTGTTTGTACTAAATTTTTTGAGATCTCTCAGTGCCAGAAGTAAATATTTCTCACGTTCATTCATTTGATCTGACAATAAGCAAGTTTATTGTACCATCGTGACAACACTATGTGCTTCGTATATTTTTTCACTTCCAAAGTAAGTTGCATAACAGAACTGGCACGTATTATTCATCTCACCAAGTGAATGTGTATATGGATGTGTATCTGTTAGACCAGGCCTCTCTTTCTCTACTCTCCGTATACGCATAAGATACCTTATTATTAATTGTCTCCTCCATCCGTTTTCAATATTTCTTCTTTGAACTTCAGGCATTTTCCGTTCTTCCAACAAAACTGATTAACTGTTTAACTTGGTCTTAACCTACTATGTTAAAACTTCAATATTTAGGCTACTCCCAAAAAGCTAATGAGTTTCTTTTTATAAACAGCTGTTTTCTGTTTTTAAATTTGTTCTATGTATTTCTTATGGGGAAACCCCGACCTTTGAGAGGGTCTCGTGCCCTTAAGAGTAGACATTTTAAAGTTCTAAAACCTTATTGCAAAACTACATATTGAGACGAATCTTTTGACACCTTGAACGTTGAAATTGGTCCACAAATAAGGGAGGAGTTGCGTTAACAAAATACGGCTTCACGTATTATATAGATAGACTAGCTGACCCGGCGAACTTCGTATCGCCTAAGTTATAGGTTTCCCCTAAGACAGACCGATGGAAAGAAAGTACCGTTAGGTTTAATTTTCAAGATGATCTCGTTCGCATCGCTCAATCACGTCATGGTTGAAGTTCGTTCGCTACGCTCACTCACCTTTGGGTTGGAGCTCGTTCGCTACGCTCACTCACCTTTAGGTTGGAGCTCGTTCGCTGCGCTCACTTGCCTTCAGGTTAGCTCGTTCGCTACGCTCACTCGCCTCCAGGTTGAAGTTCGTTCGCTACGCTCACTCACCTTTTGGTTGCAAATTAGCTGTTGTCATAAATGTAAAAGAAATAATAGTGCTGCACCCTGTTGGTAATCCTTGTAACTTTAATGCTATTGAACATCATAGAACAGAACCAACTTGTTTAATTGAAACATCTGTTAAGATTCATTAATTCCATTTCTCATAAGGTTAACATGGGAAACTCCAGAGCCACTGGGGCGGAGCCCTTTTAAGAATTTCGAATAGGGAAATAGTTTACGTCCGATTCGCATACCTACAGAATTTACACACCAAATTTCATAACGATCGGTGAAG